TATTCTCGTATTTTTACCTCATGATCTTTCCTCTGTCACTCCCACAACTAACTACCCTTAAAGAGTAGGAGGTTCCCATAACCAAAACTCCTTCTCTAACAAACCAAACTACTCTAGTTCCTTTTTTGTTTGTATTAAGGGTTGTAACCAGAGGGGTTATTGGCATGGGAGAAGCACTGAATGAAACCAAAATTTCTCTAATGGTTAGCAATATTTTGATTTCAAAGTATGTCATTAGTTATGCAATATTAGTACCCACAATGTCATTAATTACTATCAAAGGTATGTCCAAGCTATTGCTCTTTCAGCTAATATGGCTATTTATCCTCCTCATCCTTCCCCTAGCTATCAACCATATCCATAGAGTCTTGACATTGGAGTCTCACATCATGTCACTCTTGACATCTCAAGCCAGAGTCTGTATGAGCCATATTATGTACTAGAGCAGCTACAAAAAGGTAATGGTGAGTAAATTTTTGCATGTCTTTTACTTTCTATTAAAAGATTAGCCTATGATAATAACTTGTTTTGAGAATTGCACCCCCTTTTACTTTTTGTATTAAGGATCAGGTGTACTAGAAATCACTACTTTTTGAACCAAGTAAAGGTGATCTGTATGTACTATATGGCTCTTTCAATCCAAAAGATTTTTCTATTCAATCACTTCTAGAACATGGCATTTCCGATTGGGTCATCCATATAATCCATATAATTGAGTCATGAATTTTGCCTTTTAAAATAATAAATTGTAGCATATTGGTACCAACTTCCATGGTCAATATGTCTTTTCTCCATTAGGAGAATCACATAAGTTATCTCATAATTCAACTAAACACTATAGTGATCATGTTCTATATTTGATTGTCAGTGATGTATGAGGATCATCACCTACCTCTTCAATTGATGGTCATAAATATTACTTTGTTTTTATTAATCACTTTTCTAAATTTATTTGGTTTTACCCTATTTGTAAAAATAAATAAATAAATTATTTTTTTAATATTTTCATTCAATTTTAAACATTGGTAGAAAGACACGTTAATTATAAAATCAAAAAAAATACATATATCAAATAGACTAGGGGTGAATTTTATTCATTTAATAAATTTTTTCATAAAATTAGAATTATTCATCATATTATGTATCCTTAGAAACATAAGCAAAATGATACTGTTGAAAGACAACAGCATCATATTGTAGAAACACATTTATGGGAGAGAGTAATGTACTAGCCAAATTTTGACACTTTGCCTTTGACATTTTGCCAAATTTGGAAAAATGATCAATAAAAACAACGTAATACTTATAACCATCAATTGAAGGGGTAGGTGATTGTCCTCATACATCATTGAAAATCAAATATAGAACATGATCACTATAGTGTTTAGTTGAATTACTAGACAACCTATGTGATTTTCCTAATGGAGAAAAGACACATTGACCATGGAAGTTGGTACCAATATGCAGCAATTTATTATTTTAAAAGATAAAATTCATGACTCGATTTTATTGATGACCCAATTAGAAATGCCATATTTTGGAAGATGCTTGAATAGAAAAAGCTTTTGGATTGAAAGAGCCATATAATACGTACAAATCACCTTTGCTTACTCGGTTCAAAAAGTAGTGATGTCTAGTACACCTAATCCTTAATACAAAAAGCAAAAGGGTGAAATTTTCAAAATAAGTTATTATCCTAGGCTAATCTTTTAATAGAAAGTAAAAGACATGCAAATTTTGGAAGATGTAATACATCAAACATTCGCAAATTATAGTCAGTGAAATTTAAAAAAAAAGAAAATAAAGATTTAAACCCGGTTTGTTATTGGTACTAGCACCTGAAAAAAGAGGGGATGTGTGTTGGAGACGTGTAGGAGTCTTGATAGCTGAATGTGTTTGGCTTGAACTGTAAAAGGTGGAGGCCTACTTGCTACTGGAACTTGTGGAGGAAATAGACAAAACCAGAGAAGGAGTCCTGGATGTTTGTGATTTGGTAGGACTATTGGATGGAACAGAATGCATTTGGGTTGGACCGCTTGTGTTGGATAAGAAATAAGGACCAAATAAAGATGTGGGTAGAATGAGACTCTGGTGTGAGGAAGTACAGTCACCTGTTTTGGTAGAGATAGGAACGCATGGTTTGGTTGAGATGGTGCAGAACTAACTTTATGGAGAGGACTTGCTTGCATGTGCGAAGAACTCTTTTGCATGGGAAAAGGGCTTTTGGATGAATGGTGACTAGATGATTCTGGGCGGACATGTATCTCAATTGGAGAACTCCTCTATAGTGAGGACTGCACAAGTGTCTGGTTGGAAACCAAAATTTTAGACACATTATCATGAAAAGGAAACACTATTTCAATAAATTGGACAAGCCTTGCAATATACATATTTTTGAATTTAAATCGAAGCAGTGATAACCAAGATTGTCTGGACTATATCTAAGAAAAACACATGGAAACGTTTAAAAATCCATTTTATGTTTATTGTAAGGCCTAAGATGAGGAAAACATAAACATCTAAAAGCTTTTAAAATTTTGTAATCCCGTCTAAGAGTGAATAAAAATTCATATGAGGATAGGTTTTTAAGAATAGGAGTAGGCATTTGATTAATAAGAAAAACTATATTATCAAAGGCTAAATGTCAAAAGTGAGTTGGTACCTTTACCTCATCCATGATTATGAGTCCTGTTTCAACAATGTAGGGATGTCGTCATTCCACTGTCCTATTTTTTTTCATGGATATATGAGCACATAATACAATGAGCAATGCCGAGTTGCTAAAAAAATTTATTAAGATAAAATTCTCCTCCCCAATCTGTTTGGAAATTTTTTTTTTTTTTTTATTTTGCAATTGAACTGTTTTTCAACTGAAGACTGAAACTAAATAAAGTTATTGAAAACTTTAGATTTTTTTTTTTGAAATTAGATAGAAATTGATGAATTTTGAATAATAATCAATAAAAATAACATAGTACTTATTACCATCACTAGAAGGAGTAGGTGATGGTCCCAAACATCACTAAAAATTTAATATAAAACAGAATTACTGAAATGGTTCATAGAATTTAAAGACAGCATATGAGATTTTCCTAAAGGATAAGAAATACATTGATTATTAAAACACTATCACTATGTGGTAAATCATTATTAGCAAAGATAGTATACATAACTCGACCATAAGAATGTCCCAATCATGAGTGTTATATCTAAGAAGACACTTGAATGCAGAATGCTTTGGGATTGAAAGAACTTGACGATGTAGAGAGGACAAAAAAATCATCTTTACTCGACCCTGAAATAATTTGTTTAAGTTGATCCTGATCCTTCAAACAAAAAGTAGAAGGGTGGAATTCTTAAAATAAATTATTATCTTTAGCTAGTTTTTGAATAGAGAGCAAAGGTTTAGCAATGTTTGGAACATGTAAAACATCTAACAGTTTCAAGGTCCTAATTGGTGTATGAATGTGAGCAGTACCAATATTCTGAATAGAAAGACAATAATCATCGCCCACTTGCAGCTGACCAGACCTTTGATAAGGCTAATAGTGGCTCATGGCAATATATCAAGGGTGACATGATGGAAAGCACTCATATTCGGACACCAAACTTGTGGTTGATAAATGTGATTGGAAGTAGAATATATTGCCATGTGAGCCTGTGGGAATAAAAAAAGGCAGAATGGCCCCAAGAGTTGCAAATTTGGCAGCGGGATGGATTTTGCTGGGACTGATTATTCTATATCCAATTCTGTCACCCATCATTGTTGCAGCCATTTCTGCTACGCCATCATCCTCTTTGTTGTCGTCCTCTGTCATGGCCAAAGAATGTCCTAGAGGGGCTCCCACTGATAAGAGTTATTGCTATTGGGAATTATTGATCGTTGGCTTAAATTGGTCGTATGAGGAAAGGAAGCTGAAGTGATGGTGGGAATAAAAAGTTGTTGCAGAGTCCCTATTTAAAAACTCATAAGTTAAAAAGTAAACTATGAAGTTCTGAAAAATACATCGAGTCAGAACATGCATTCAAAGTTGTTATCAAATCCTTGTAGTCCGTAGACAGTACTCAAAAAATATTAAGATTGAAATCCACAATTGAATGTGGTTTTCCAACTACAATGACTCCATCACCATAGGACTTGGCTCGCTGGAGGTACTAAGTCATAGATTTAGTGCTCTCTTGTTTCAATCTTTGGAGAGCTAAATGCAAAGTCATTATGTGTGTGCTGCAGGCTAAGGCTAGTGCACTTTCAAGCACAGTCCACACCTCTTAAATAGGTGCTGCAGTCAATTCCAAGTTATAAGACTACGGTAAATAAGGAAGCGATGATTGTGCTCATCAATAGCTAATCCTATTGGATCCAAGAATTATAAAAAGGGTTTTCCTGTCTTCGTCTAGTGTCTACAGAAAGAGTATGAGAAGGTGGGCATTTGTTGCTGCCATCAACGGATCCAAATAAGCCTTGGCCTAGAAGGAAGGGACCCATTTGAGTACGCCCAAAAAGAAAATTAGTAGTGGTTAATTTGATAGAGATGAAGTGATGAGCGTTAGAAGGATGTGTAATATGGTTTGATGGAGTTTGTGAACGAGTAGCGTTTAGAGGAACTTAGTTTGTTGAAGAAGAAGTAGGACTATTGGAGGCCATTGGTGCAGTTTTGCATAGGCTCTAATATCAAGTTAAACCAAGATGATATTTGTATAATCACTTGCAAGCTTAAAGTTGTTGAAGTGGTGTTTTGTATATATATCCGTGTGTGATACAAATAGGTGCATCAATAAAATAAACTTCAGTCTCTCAAGCGAAAAGCTTTTCATTCAAATGGCAATATAAAATGGGCAGCATAGCGAGGAGCAGGGGAAACAAAAAACAAAGTTTATATTACTCGCAAAACAAACATTTATGTATAGAGACAGGTTCAGCAACCTCTTTATTGTAATTGTTATAACAGTTCTGGGAAGTAAAAAACAGAATCCAAAACGGGCAACAGCTTCGTGTTCTTCTAATTGTTGTCCCACCAGAATTGCTTCTGAAGATAGCTAACGACATTCTTGTCCAGTTGGAAGGCCTTGGCGAGAACATCAGGATTAATAGGCGGTTCTGATCCAAAGACTGCGTTTGCAATGGTAATCACACCAGGGTTCTGGCTGCTTAAACCGGAAAAGGCAACTGCGTTAGTTTTTCCCACATTGAATTGGAAGTGAATGAGTCCAATTGGGAACACAAAAACATCTCCTGTATTCAGGACTTTTGTGAATAGGCGATTCTCTGGGTTGGAAGTGACGAAGCCAACATAGAGAGTTCCCTCCAGAACTACTAGGATCTCCGTGCCACGAGGGTGGGTGTGGGGTGGGTTTAAGCCTCCATACGGCGCGTAATCAATGCGAGCCAAGGATATGCCGAGAGTGTTGAGTCCTGGAATTTGAGCAACATTCACAGGAGTGACAGTTGAGCCAACTGGATTGGAAGTGTTTTGTGGAATGTTGAGTCCAGAATAGAAGAAATCCTTTTCAGTGACAAGCTTTGGGTCTTTGCAGAATTTCCCATTCACAAACACTGCATGAGAAAGACATTTGATAACATATTAAGAAATCATCATCAGAGAATCAACATATGAGAAAATAAAAGAGATACTAAATATATACAGGATGCATGATATTTTCCAGAAAGAAAATTACTGCAAGTCTTCTGTGGTGTAATATTATCACGTTACAGTTAAAAAAGTCTTAGTAAAACACTAAAAAAGTACATACCACCATCTGTTTCATTGATGGCTACGCAGAAGTCCTGAAGTGGACTAGGGTCAAAGGCAGAGGCAAGTGAAGAAGCCAGCGCCAAAAGGACAAAAACTGCTACAAACTTAAGTCCTTCCATTAGATTCTACACTGATTTTGCTTAGTGAGGGGTGAGACATCTAGCATGGATGCAAAGTTATTTATAGCTAGGATTCATTGAAATAGTCTATGTTAGCTCTAAATGAAACCGGCGACGACTTGTCCAAGTCTTCAATGTTTGCTTAATTTCTTATCCAGTGACGAAAGACTTCGTTAGTTGTTGGAGATCCTGAATAGTTTTTCAAGATTTGAAGCATTTGATAATATCCATTACATGCCAATATTTTCTTCAACACGATACTCGTTCTTTAACCAGGAACAGGCTTAATGCCTCGTCGTCACACAGCTGCATTGAAGAAGTCAGGCGAAATTAACAGAGTTGGTAAAATTGGTAGCTGATAATGACAGAAAAAAGTTATTTTAAGTTGTGGTTAGTTAATTCAACGGAAGTTTCTTATGGTTGTTCAATGGGTATTCCTGACCAAAAATTTTATGAACATGAATTTTGACTCCTATTCGTGATCTTCGAAACCTTCTGTAGTCCACAAGCATGTTAAGGTGACTTCTTCCCCATTTATGCAAGTAATTGCCTTGACAAAAACTCTTAGGATTAGAGTTAGGCTTTTCTTATTTTTCATCTTTAAGAAAAATTGAGCGGCACTTTACTGTCTTTATGAAAAAAGAATGGTAATTTATCTTTAAATGCATAGTTGATTTCCATGCAGTTTCCTAATTAAGCTTTATCTCTTTTATCAATTAATATTAATTTTTTAAAAATAATAATAATAATTTCCGTCGGTAAATTATGTTTTTCCACTCAAAAAAAAAAATCCCTCCAAAAAAATCAGTTTCCCTCCCTTCCGAAAATATTGTCCCTCTCCCTAAAAAAAAGAAAAAAATTACCAACGGAATTTTCCATCCGTAATTCAAATTCTGGGATAATTTTTTGGGATAATCGAGAAAAGATGAGATTTAGAAAGATACTTGAAATACAAGAGTAGTGTTATTGCATTGAAAGCAGAGATGAGCAACCTAGCTCTTTATTAAGTTAGAACAACAGTACTAATATCAGTGTCTGCAATAATAAGTACAGTGTCTTCTTTAATGGAAACAGGTCTGCTTTATGGAAAGATATTTGCTCTACTTATTCTGCTTCAGATCCGTGTCTTATTGGAAATCAATGGCTTTGTTTTGGCTTGACACATGGGTTGGTAGCTCACCTCTTTAAGAGCATGTACCCATCCTTGTTCATTTAGCTGAAAACAAAGTTCGTAAAGTCGCAGACATGGGGGAATAGGTTGGTTACTGTTGGTCGTAGAAGCTAAGATGGAGAAGACAGCTTCAGTCTTGCGACATGGCTTTTGTTTTTTTTTAACTCACACACCCAACACACACTCAATGCTGCTAGCAGATTAGTCTGTTAGGATTTAAACCAGTAACTTTTTTGCAAGAGATAATTACCATTGGACTACAAACTATTTGGTTGCGAGATGGCTCAAGAATCACAACTCTTAGAATTAAAAACATCCATTTACTTGTGTATATTAAGAGGATCATGACCATGCGGCATAGATTTAATTATGAAACCAAGAGTTAAGTCTTGCAGGCAATCGATGGATTCGGTTTTCTTTGCTGGTGTGACCCCATTCGCTCTTATATTTGGATGAATTTAGCTCCTCCTAAAGTTGAAAGTTTTGTGTGACTTGCAGCTTTAGGAAGGTTGAGTACCAGAGATTTCCTTACCCAAAGGGGAATTATTGTTGATGTGGATAACTTGTGTCCTTTCTGAAACATGATTCGTGAATCGGTCTCCTGCCTGTTGCTTCATCGTATTGGTGTATGGCTCTTTTGGACAGGAATTCTGAGATGGTTGGGCGTGGTCTGCACTAAGCCTTCTACAGTTGTGACTTGTTTCGGGTTGGTTTATTAGTGGATGACCTGTTGCTTCAAACTAAGGTCTGGTTCCTAGCCTTATTTGCTGCTCTGTGGTCAATTTGGCCAGCAAGAAACGATCTGGTCTTGTAAGGGAAAGTGATAGTCTTAATATTCATATTTTACAGTAGCATTTTGTTTGATCTTCTCTTTCTCCAACCTACTATGTTGACCAGAGTTTCTTTTGAAGTTGTACAAGAGTGTGGGAGGCAGAAAAAAGAAAAGGCATGCTGTTTTGACATCTTATCAGCTTTGCATCTTACTAATAAAATAATTGGCTATATATTACGAATAAATCAACTTTTGTAATGTGAACCCATATCCTCTCATGTATAGTTTATAATGATCTTGTCCAGAACCAAGAGAAACCTCGTGACTATTTACCGAGTCTATAAAAACTAAGTCATGATACAAAGAACTAAACCCATTTCGTACAAGGTAAGCTTACATCATTTGAACTTAATTCGGCAAACAAATTCTTATAATAAGTAATGTAACTCAGCTTTCTACCTGTCTAAACAGTGTGAACGAGATCATCTAAAGTATGCAAGATATTTTCTTTGATCTAATGTCACAATAATTTACCACTTAAACAATTAGCTGGAAAAATACATCGACCCCAATATGATATTCCTAAGCCCCATGGTTCAAGCGACTTTAAAGATACACATTAAAGATATTCCTTATTCTCAAATTTAGCCTCAACTGCGACTATGTTGATGTTCGATCGTAGGGAGATACTAGAAAATTATCACCAGCCATATATATTGCAATAAACTACGTGAGAAAAAAAAAGAAAGAGAGAATTGAATTATTATTTATGATAAATTACTGTAAACATCTTGTAGGTTGAACACAGAAATAATTCACAATACAATTATTTTTCATAAATTATACTTTAAATATTTGAGGATGAACTTTTGTAAAGTGTAAAAAAAAAAATACCCTTTATATATAATTGGATCATATTCACGGCTAATCATTTTCTCCACTTTTCTCACCCAATTATTTCTCTCTCCTCTTGTGTGTTCTTCTTCTCTATCTTCAAAGAGAGAAAAAGCTTTAAAAAATCCTTGATATTTCAATTTAATCTCTTCAAAAAAGAAAAAAAAAAAACTTTGTTTTCTTCTTTATTCTGATTGATTAAAGGTTTGTGTGGTTGTTTGAAGTTCAATCGAAGACAAATCAAAACTAAATATGAAGTATGTGAAACTCTAACCTTAATTTTTAATTTTTTTAAAAAATAAAAATGTATTTAACACACAAAATATTTAGATTAACTTTATATTTATAGAATCTCGAGCAAAACCCATAAAAAAAAATTGTGTTTTAAGTCTAAGTTGTGTTTTGAAGTTTTTTTTTAAAAAAAAAACCCTAATTGCTTAATGTTGATTTTTTATTTAAAATTGTTTTTTTATACTATAATTATTTGTTCCGAGTAAAACTCGTAAAAAAAAAAACTATTTGCAAGAGTTTTGCTTGTGTGTTGTATCGTTGTGTGTATTTTTCTTCGGTTGCAGCTGATTTTTATAGACTTCTTGCTCCTCTATGATCTCTTATAGTAGAGCATTTTCTTCTATATATTGTATATTGCTCTATATTTTTCTATTCTTACATTGCAATGCATCATATTATTTTCTCTATTTTGCTATTCTTGTGCTGCAGTCTCTCACATTCTTCTAACTGATTGGATCATGCTTTTATTGCTATCAGAATTCTATTATTCTTCCACTTCCTTTACACCACGTTGTTCCTGACTACTCTCGACCTTAAAACATGGTGGTTTTCCCATGTTTTCCTCCATCTTTACCTTGTTGAGAATTTTTCTTCCGTCTATCTCTATTTAACTTGTTGAAAGCACTCCAGTGATCTCATCTAGATGGATTTGTTGGGCCAAGTGCAACTTTGGGGCTTAATGAGTTAGGAATGATCTTTTTTAAAGAGAAAATACACAGTGGACTTTAAGTGAAGTTACTCAAGAACGAATGTTAAAAAAAGAATTCATTAAAAACCTTGATGGACTTTATCAATCTTTTCTGCCTAATTTATTGGATTAAGGCCCAAAATACATGTCGGTATAAGAAAATTGCAAAAACTATATTTAACCCGTTCAATTGGTAAGACTATTCGTTTTTTGGAAAGAAGCACATATTAACATTTTATACAGAAGTAGACACAAATTAAAAAGTATTTATGACAACAAAATTTAGTCAATATTACATTTTAATTATCATGATATCATCAAATACATACTAAAAATAACATTTATTTCACATAAAAATAGATGAGACGTCATCAAGGATGACTAAACTTATTCGTGGTAAATGAATAAGACAGAAAATTGTAACAAGCGAAAACAAGCAGCCGTTTTGCTTACATGACACAATTCTTATTAGAAAAAACATCTTCACAGAATGCAAAGGCATCCGCAAATTAGACCATGATGGACAGAAACATGTTTATGGACATTGGAAATCTTCTGAAACCTTCTTTCCACAGACGTTGAGGAGCAGGCTTGGAGAAAGTGGAATGTTAAGGTTGGTACCCAAGATGTTAGCTTTAATGGCAGTGCAAAGGCAAACCGCAGCCTCGAGATCTAAAAGACCTAGAACACTGCAGCAAGGTTGGACAAGGGGACTGCCAATTGTGGCATTAAGCAAAGAACCGAGCAAATTAGCACACACACCTAATTTAAGTGCATCTTTGGGGCACTTTCCACCGGGAGGGCTTGGTGTTGGGTTTGGTTTCGGGCTTGCCTTTGGTTCTGATTTAGGATTCAAAGGTGGGCAATCCTCTTCACAAGCAGTGACCAGGGAAAAGAAAGAAAGGTTGAAAGCAAGAAAGAGAGCAAGTGACGTTGTCTTTGTGGAAACCATTTCTCTCAAAAGCTAATGGCATGTCTAGAAACAATAGAAGAGAGGGAGGGACGTAAGATGTATCATTTATTGGGGTTCGTGTGTTATTTGGCTCCTGTGTCATTTCTTGTCTTGTTTTAAATATATAAATAATAATTAAAAATTTTGAAACTCATTAAAATTTAGTAATGGATTAGATAGATTCATTGAAAGTACAAAATTAGGTCACACAAATTATCTTTAATCTCACCATATAAATATTAAATAAAACTCCTAATTTTTATAAACACGTAAAAACCTTTTAAGTATTGATATAAAATAAAAGAATTTAAAAAAAAATTGACATAAATTAGATGGCTCTTTATTCTTGACTACATAATTTTTTTTTATATCAATTATATGAAAAATTATGTATTTTATTAATTTTTGTTGTGTTTGTATATTTAGACATATTTAATTTAATTTTGCATATGATGCTAGAGTTTTTTTTTTTTACTACATTTATTATTTCGCATGGGTATGAGTAATTTCCATATGGGTAAAAGGAGAGGATGAAAAGATAGATTTTTTGAAAAAACAATAATAATGGTTATGATTGCTTTTCTCTTTCTTGGCAGAGAGAAAGACTACAAAGCTTTGATTTGACAAGGCTGCAAAAGCAAGGAAAAAACAAAACAGAAACTTTACTTGACAAGTTTGATATGGATTGGCAATTGTTTACGATAGAAGGAAACAAGTGTGGGAAGGGAGTCAGCTAGCGTCTGCCACTTTTTCGTTGACCACACTTTTAGTCTCTTTAATAGCCGCGATTATCCTCGACTTTCAAGCTGTTGTTATGAGATTGTTCATTCCAGGTATCACCGCATTTTTTATCTTCAAGTTAGTGTAATTCAATAATCTCGAATCTAAAATATCAAATTATCTAATTTAATTTTTAAATATTAAAAATTAAATAAATATGATTCAAATATTTATTTTTTGTTATTTTTAATAGATAATTATTAATTGATCGTTATTTATTTTGTTTTTTCAATTAAAACCAAAAGGAATTGAAACAAGTAAACTTCTTTCAATTGTTCTCATACAAACCTAATTCATAAGAGAGTTGTTAGAGTTCATGAAATAGTTTATCTTCCTTCAATTTTGTGTGGTGGATTCTTGAAAGCTTCATATTTTCCGTATAGTTTGTCTTCTTTCAATTTTTCTCATACAAACCTAATTCATAAGAAAGTCTCTCTTCGGATGGAGCTCTTAGTGCATCATCGATCTCGGAGAGTTTATCATGATTTTTTAGCAAAGCCAAATCCCTATTTTGGAGCGCGATTACTATGACTTGAATCATTGGCACAAACTTTGTTAATAGGCTAACAATGATGTTTTGGTTATCTCTACCATCTTTTTTTAATACAAAGTCCACAGTATCTTGATAAACAACATAAGGGTAGCAAACATCTTGTTCAAAGAAGCTTTTAAAGTAATGGTTTTGGAAGTGTTATGACTCCAATCGATTACTCGCACCACTAGGGTATAGAAAGAGGACAAGTACCGCAAGAAGGAATTGTGCAACTCGTCTATCAAGCTAGGTGCGCCTCCCTAAAAGATCACTATTTCACCAATATTCATTGTCATGAAAATACATTTGGCATACAATGCTATCTTTAAGAAACCCTTATTGCATGAAATAGCAAGTAGTGACTTACATAAAACACTTTATCTCTAAAGTTCCCTACTCTAAAGGCAATTGCCACTATCTATCGAACCACTTGGGTAGGATCACGTTGAAAAATCAAAAGTAACTCTATCAAATCTAAGATCAACTCTCGGCATAGCCCGAGAGTCTAGGTCACAATGGATTTACATAGTCAACTATGATGATATGAGAGTTTTCATTTTGAATTAAATACTTACTACATTGATTGATATATTAGTCTATGCATATGCCTCTAAAGATTACAACAATGTTTTACAATTGATAATAGGCTAGATTACCAATAGGGAAAAGACCACAACCATACCCTTAAAAGGATAAATGGTTGAAACCTATGGGTAAAATCCATAGCTATGTCTCTTTAAGGAAAAATGATCATACCCTTACAAAAAGAATGGCCACACCTTTTGAGAGATAGACAACTAAACACCATGAAGAATGCTCATGTCCATATCCCTAGAAGAAAGGGTGGACGACTATATCTTATGAAAAAGTTTACCTTAGTATCCTTTAAAGAACAAACAACCAAACCCAAAAAAAAAAACTCAAAGAATACATCCACCATTGAGTGGACATGTAAGTAATTACTTTTAAAGAGGTCAAATACTACATTCTATTAAGAAATATAATTATTATTTTATGTCACCCACTTAAAAGAAAAAATAACCTATGAAATGTCATATCCTACAAGGGCTTTAGACCCATCAAAAACAAAAAATGGTAGCTCCAACTTGTACATGTAAAAAAAATGGCGAAAAGAAAAGGAAAAAGAAAAAGTGGAAACACTAAGGAAAAAAGTCTCTAAAATTTCATCAAATTCATCAAGTAAACAGATGTTACATAAAAAGGCATATAAGCCTAACTACCAAACAATTACAAAAAAGATATTATATAAGCCTATATCTTACATAGTATCCTCGATAAAACTTTCTCCAACCTCTATGTTAAGGTTTCCTTCCTAAAAATGAAATAATCAAAAGCAACTAGAGTACTTTTATTCAAAGAGAAAAAGGAAAAGCCAACTAAAGAAGTCTCAATGCTACAATGTGGGAATAACTCATAAGTAATTAAATCCTAGCTTATGATGGACGAAAAAGCCTTTATATTACTAAGGCATTGCCTTCTAAAGAAAAGACGATCCCTATACAACTATGGGCTCGTCCATCGAAAAATGAGGGTATGGATCCATCCCCGATGCTCGTAGGAAAGTCGCATATGATGGAGTCTAGTTGAGCCATCCTCTTTGAGATAACATCTTTTACTACAATCATCACCTCTTACCTCTAAGCTACTTTAGAATCTCAAGCCATAACCACTCTTCTTTTAAGAAAGTTATGCTCCAAAGCCTTTCCAATGTCCTTCAACCTTTCTTTTATTTTCTCTTAAAGAGATTGAAGCTTTTTATCTTTCTACAATAAGGTAGTATGAAGCCTCTAAAAAAATCCTATTGTATTGGATCATTTTTCTCTTCAATCCTTCTTCTATGAAGAAGGTGGGCTTGTACCTAGAAGAGTCATGTGAAAGAACAACATATAAGCACCACCTCAATGGAAAAAAAAACTACAAAAGTAAATTAAGAATAAATACACATGCACTTATAGTAGGGCTTAGTTGCGTGGCTTCTTCTATCTCTCTAGCTGAAGAACCATAACATAAGGCCTCATATTGATTGAAAATACAGAGATATCGATGAGAAAATAAAAGGCCTCATACCTTCTTCTCCTCTCATAAAAATATCGTCAACAAACAACTCTTACCATAGACAAAATCGCTTTGTTGAAAAAAAAAGTAAATGACACCTCGCACCACCTCGGCTTGGCCTAGGTATGAAAGCTCTCAATGACCTTTTTTTCTTGTATAATGAGTAGGAAAGGAAGCCACTATATGCATAGGAGTTTCGTCAATGTTTTCTTTGAATTGAGGAATAAAAGTAGAAGTAGTCACCACCCTATTGAGGCCCTCAAAGACCCGAAAGTTGCTTTATCCGTTAATATCATTATTGGAGGTGCAACCTTTTTTCTTTCGTAAGAGGAAGAGTATTTTTCCTTCCCACCAATGAGGATTGACCTTCTTCTCCAAAAGACACACAAAAAAGCTCCTCACCTTTTTTCTAGTGTTAGAGGCCATCTTGGCTAACCATTCGACCGCATCTTCATTGGAAAAATTCTCCTTAAAAGCAAGCTTTATCCTAAAGTAGAAGTCAATGATGATGATGAGGATAAAACTCTATACTCGGTAGCATTCTCCTCATGTGAGCCATAGAGGGTTTCATGAGAAATCGAGTTAGGATCATTGTCTCTCTCAAATAATAGGCTCACTAGAAAACAAAAAAGCGTTAAAAATAAGAAATAATGATATAGATATAAATAATTATAAGACCAAATCCAGCTTACCCATCCAAATAGTTAATCTTGCACATCTTTCCATTACAAAGTAATCTCAATACCTATTTGAAGAAAAAATATGTCAAGACTACTCCGAAGAGACTTTTATAAATGGGAACACCCCTAAATTCTTCAATCATGACCTTAGGGAGCCATCCCTTGGTACCTAGCAATAAACCATTCCTTCCTCCAATCGTTTTCTAGGTTAGGGTATCTATAAATACTTTTTTCAATAGGCTTGTTTTACAGGCCAAAAAGTGCATTCCTAAGCCTTCTTTCCATCCATACCAACTCTACAAGTCAAACGGTGATAATATCTAAAAACTCTAAGAGTTGGGGTGATCCAATACTTCAAATAAATGGTCAAAAATAGAAAAACTTGTCCTCTTATTCAAGTGAATTTGGTCTAAACTCAAGCAAAAATAATCAAACATTTCACCACAACACTAGTTAAAGGAAAAGTGAACTTGTACTCTAACATGCATATATAGACAACAATATCCACATTTTCCTCAATTGTGCTAAAAGAGAGTTTATTCATCCTATCATTAAAATAGGTTAGAATTAGAAGAAAATTCTCCCTCAATAAACAACCATAGGCAACAAGTCTTCGCCATACACACAACTTGGACCTTTCACGGTAAAAGAAGGCATGTCTATAGACTCACCTCGAGAAGGAGAGGACTCACTTACACTAAAGTTAGCACATCTTCTTACATCCTAAACACAACCCAAATGTACCTTTAACGATCATTCATATTTGTATTAGATGAAATAAAAAATAAAGGAAAAGGAAATTGTTACCTCATATAACTATAGATCTAAAAAAAAAAAAAACCCTAAAAACATCTTACTATAGGATGGATCATAGTTTTTAGGTCTCGACCCATCACGATTAAAATTGATAAAGTAGACAATAATTGTCATCG